CAAGAATATTCTAATTGCCCCAATAATATCTATATTCCTATGTGCAGACATTGCTTGTCATGTGCATACGTCCCCATCATTGACTTGACGCTAGCTCTTCAATTACTCAAGTAGATTTTTTATTTTCAAGTGCCCATAGAGATAAGACTTCCATAAATAGGGCTCACCTCAATTAAAAATGTGGTTAGTAAAGTGGTACATGATTTTTTTATATATGCTCAGATATTTAATTTTGCAAAAATAATGCATCCAACTAACTCAACCAAAAAAGTTGCATCCAATTAATGATGTTCTTGGAATATTGATACAAAATAAATTAGGTGTTAAAAAGATATTTAATTTTGCAAAAATAATGCATCCAACTAACTCAACCAAAAAAGTTGCATCCAATTAATGATGTTCTTGGAATATTGATACAAAATAAATTAGGTGTTAAAAAGATATTTAATTTTGCAAAAATAATGCATCCAACTAACTCAACCAAAAAAGTTGCATCCAATTAATGATGTTCTTGGAATATTGATACAAAATAAATTAGGTGTTAAAAAGATATTTAATTTTGCAAAAATAATGCATCCAACTAACTCAACCAAAAAAGTTGCATCCAATTAATGATGTTCTTGGAATATTGATACAAAATAAATTAGGTGTTAAAAAATATTTAATATCTGAATATGATCTATTACGACAAAGACTCATCGTCACAATCATGGTGATTATTCAAAAGGTGTAACATCCCTGATCCAATTTAATTGATTTAATCAAATTTAATTCTTTTGTGAAATTTCAATTTTGCCTTTGAAAGTAGGGGTACTTTGGTCACTTTAAGGAAAAAAAATATTTATTGTATGACATTACGTAATAGTGTAAGTTTGTGTTAGCTTATGTGAGGCCCCAGTTTAAGGTTCGCACAGGGCCTTCAAAATCTCAAGACCGGCCCTGCAACACCCCATGCACTATCTTCCCCAACCAACCACAACCCACCCTAGCCCCTTCAATTATCCAACACCCCAACCGTGCAATTATCCAACAACCCCAACCCCTATCTCTCTCTCTCTCTCTCTCTCTCTCTCTCTCTCTCTCTCTCTCTCTCAACCCACACCCCCCATCCTTATGTTTGCATGTGCCTCTCACATAGAGCAGCTTAGGGAGACTTCCTCTCTGCACGTCTCAATTATGTTGTGGTTTAGGTACTGGGAATGAGGGTTTTGTAAGGATATATTAAAAAAGCAAGTAGGGCAAAAATAGGTTGCTTGAATTGAATGTATGGACCAGCAACAAGGCTTACCCCTAAATTTAACGAAAATTTTGACAGAAGAGACGTCAGGACTATTCGTGCTTACAAAACTAAAGTTTAAGGACCACAAGAAATTTTTTGGAAATTGAGGGACCAAAATGAGAATCGGGCCAAAGTTCAAGGACCATTGGACCTAAAAACCCTAATTTTTCCTTTAAATGCAAGGGCAAAATGGTAGCTTTGTATTATTTTTAATTTCTACTATCTGAATATTCCCTTCACCCAAAAAATAAAAATAAAAACTAAAAACTAAAAACCTTCTTAAATTGACCAAACTTCCAAAATTGACAATTGAAACATTTACTCAACCGCCAAGCTTCCAAAATTGACGATTTCAACATTTACTCAACCAATTTGAGAAGCACCATCTTATAAAGAGGAAGAAGACTTCAATTTAGGGTTCTTTATGGCTCTTTTAGCGAGAGGCTGCAACAGAGGGAAGGTGAGTTTCACAATGGAGGGAAATAAAACCAACCTGAAAAGTCCCATTTACCCCTAAATTTAACGAAAAATTTGACAAATTTGACGACAGGACCATTTGTCCTAACGAAACTGACATTGAAGGACCACATGAAGGATTTTGGAAATTGAAGGACCAAAATACAAATAAGGTCAAAGTTTAGAGACCATTATACCTAAAAACCCTAAACTTATTTTTAAGTTTTGATTCCAATTCATAACTCAACCCGTTCATAGAGGTTTATAATTTTTTGAACCTAAGATCCAATCATTTATAGGTCAACCCACCCACTATGATCGGGTTAGGCAGTTCGGTCGGGTTCACCTGAAATTGTGCCCACCTTATAATTTTCCGTTAATTATAAGGGTAAATTTTTCATTTTACAATGTACAATACTAAAAACAATAAAGAAAATGTAAATAAATGAAAAAAAATACTTTTCAAAACAGAAAAACAAAAAGAGCTCCGACGAACCAAGAAAGAAGAAGAAGCAAGAGAACCGTCCAATTTGATGGAAGTGAAACGAAGCCAAAGTATAGCCAGACGAGACTAAACAAATTGCAGCTTCCATTTTCACCAATCCAACATTGTCTACAAGTCCACTCATTTGAAACCAATAAACAAACCCCATTTTCCCACCTGTCAAGCATTTTGACTTCTCATTTTCTCTTCCCTTTCGTTCTATCCCTTAAAATGCTCCTTCTTCTTTTTCTTTGCTTTTCGGTCTGAACCTTGAATCTTCCCAACTCGCCATGATTGACCTCCCTTTAATCCTCCATTGCAATCCACATTTTCTTTTTACTTTTTTCTGGTCTGAACCTTCAGTCTTCCGCTCCCTTTTTAATTTCAATTCACAAGTCTCACTTCCAAATTACAAGGCTCAAATAATTGAGAATGTGGAGACAGCCACGAAAATGAAACTAAGCCAAACTTGAATCATTAGAGCAACTCCACCCATTTGCCCTTAGCCATGGCAAGGGGGGAGCTAGGGCAGCCACTATTCACGTGAATAGTGGTTGCCATTGCAAATAGTATTTTGTGTTTCCACCCGTTGCCATGGCTAAGGGCAGTTACTATTCATTTTTTTTTATTTTTTTCACAAATTTTTTTACCTCAATAATTAATTTGGACAAAATTTTTTAAAAAGATTTTTGGTGTGGAAAGTGAAAAATATGACTAAGTATTTATTTAAAAAAAAATCTGAATTTTTTTGTTTTTTTTAAAAAAAAAATTTGTTGCTGACGTTAGCAACCCTCGTTTTGGATCTCGGGCTAAACTGGCCTTCGGGCCAGCCCGACTTGCTGGGACCCACTCCCTGCCGTTTTGGCTCATGTACTATACAGTAATTATCAATTTACTCCATAGATCTTTTTTTCACTTAAATTAAGGACTTAAACTATTTAAAATAGGTCAATTTGGGACTTCCATCAAGTTTTTAAATGTCCATCTAAATTTGAGTCAATATTAAGAGCAAATTTGGGCCTAATTTTTATATAATTTGAATCCCAAATGCTCAAGTGGTAAAATGAGGGGAGAATTAGAATTTAAATTTGTCCAAGTGTTACCTGCCGTTTTGGCTCATGTACTATACAGTAATTATCAATTTACTCCATAGATCTTTTTTTCACTTAAATTAAGGACTTAAACTATTTAAAATAGGTCAATTTGGGACTTCCATCAAGTTTTTAAATGTCCATCTAAATTTGAGTCAATATTAAGAGCAAATTCGTAATTTCAAAGGAAAAAAACAACACATTATTAATCGACTATTGAGAGAGCTTTAGAGAGAGATGCTCCTCATTCTCTCTAAAATTTCTCTCTTCTCCACTGCCCTTGTCTGAGCAGTTGGTGGCTCTCTCGTTGACCTTCGAGGCGGCTTCTCCAGCACCTCTGGTATGACTTCTCCCCCGAAATTTCTAATATTGGCCAAAACCTCCTCCACTTTTCCCTCTACATCTCATGCCCTTCTCCTTTTCAGCCATTAGATCTCCCCCATCCTTTTTTCCCCTCATCCCACCACACCTTCATGCATCTGTCCTTATCCTTATCTCTTCTCCTCCCACCAAATCTCAAGTCGACTACTGGTTTGCTGCAACTGCTTCACTTCTACAACCCATTATCATATCTAAGACTTTAATCTGCATCTTTGGGCTATGTGGGCTCTGTAACTCAATGGTAAATTTTGACCACTACTTGATGGATCGTTTGAGTATGATGCATATTGATGTTAGACCCCATTCAACCTTGACCCAAATGTACATAAAGAACATGCTATTTTTTATTACTCAAAACACAATGCAATTGTCAAGACTCACATTTTTGGACCTTAGAAGGGAAAAAATCTCCTCTTTTCTCTCTAACCCTAGCCCCTCTTTTGAAACCTGTTGCAGCGCCGCTTTGGGGAGGAGGCCTTAGTTCCTCCTCCCCTCTCCTTAGTTCCTGTCTTCTCTCTCCTCTGTGAGAGTTTTTGTTTACTTCTTTGTTTGGGTTTACCTCTTCTCCTCTCCAACCCCTTTCCCTATGTCTGATTTTCTCTACTTTTTTCTCTTCACCCTCACCTTAAATTTCCCTAAATTATGCCCAAATTTGGAAAACCCAAATCTGTACTTCCATTCTCCTTTTTCTTCCCCACCCATAAATGCTGTTCTTCAATCTACTCTTCTCACCTCTACATTCCTTGCCCCTTCTCTGTTACGGTGTCCTCCACATATTCCCTCCGGCTGTGTCCCAACCCGAGATCTCAACCACCAGTTCTCCTCTTTCTTCCCCACCCATAAATGCTGTTCTTCAATCTACTCTTCTCACCTCTACATTCCTTGCCCCTTCTCTGTTACGGTGTCCTCCACATATTCCCTCCGGCTGTGTCCCAACCCGAGATCTCAACCACCAGCCACTGCTCCTTGGCTCCATGGATGAGGATGCTTCAAAAGTGCTCTTTGCACTAGCTTCTAGGATTATGGTAGCGCTCTTTGCGTGGGTGGTTTGTCCACCACCATTCTCCGTTCTAAGCAATGGTTTGTTTGGTTACTGGTTACCCATCTCTGGCGGTTGTGGTTTTGCGACGGCGGCGCGGCAAGGCGACAGTGGAGGCTGTAGCTTCTCAGATCTAGGCTTCTTTCTTTGATTTGGTTTTTGGGTAGATGTTTGTTTTTGGGGTTTTTAATTGCTAATTCAAAAGACCAAAACACTTAGCATCCTATCATTACCCTCCCCACAAAAACAATCTTTGTCCTCAAGGATGGAAATGAGAAAATCATGTGGAAGAGCAGCTGCTGCAACATGGTTGGCCAAAGACACTTGCTGATGCTTGTTGTGGTGCATGTGGCCTTGAGATAGGAAGAGGCAAAAATCACAATGACCGCCAAAATCAAAACCTCAAAAAATGGTAGGCGAGGGACACTTGTTGTTGCTGGTTGTGGTTCATGTGGAGGAAGATTGGACTGATGCAAAGCCACAAGTAATCCGCAAAGTATGAAAATGTATCAGCAATGGACCAAAATCCTCAACCAATGGACACCTACTACCAAATCACACGCCCCCAGAGAAATAACATTGAAGGGTATCACAAATTCAGAAATACACCCAATGCAGCTACATCCAAGTAGACTTCTTTTGAAATAGTAGTGGGATTGTCCTCCTTCGAACCAAGACATTTCCTTCGTAATCTTAGTATCATACGACACAAAGGCAGATTCTTCATCCACAGTAGGCAATATATATGTTGTACCCCTTATGGAACCTCCACTATAAGAAGGTGGAGTAATCTTGTATCTGAATCCTTCACATATCATCTCTGCCCTTGAAACTGCAATATTTGAGCATGAAAATGTCGAGGACCATTTGGGAAACATGCTGAGGACATAACCATCAAGCTCATCGGCAACTTCAAAAACTGTGTGGCCTCCACGTTTGTCACAAATTTCCATGTGGTAGCCCAACGCCCAACGCAAGAGCAACAATACTGCCACCATTGCATAGCCCAGGTGAGCTGTGCATTAGATCAAACAGGTGGAATGCATGTCTGCTACTGAAATCTTGTGTCACATACGGAGCAAGAACACCAACAATTGGTGCAAGGTCCTTCAAGAATTGTAATTCCCCACTTTCAAAGGCTACCCCATTGCAGAGCAATGGGTTCAACTTCCTTCAATGAGAGCATCTTGGTGTCGGCCAATAAGCTGCGAAATGCCACTTGGTCTCCAAGAAAAATCCTTTTAGGTACCATATCAGAACCAACCTGCTGTGACTCAACATTCAAGGGCATTGAAGTCTCACTTGTCACGGTATCATCATCAGAAACAATAAATCCAGAAACCAACTCATAAGATTGGGTCTTTCTTGAAAGAGAAACCAAATTGCAAATTTTGCTAACAGGTGGATCTTCCTTTGTTGCATCAGAAAAGAGATCCACTTCAGGAATGGACTCCAGCGGTGTTGTTGCAACAGAAAAAAGGCCCATGGCATGAACGGGCATCGGCTCTTGCAGTTACGGTTGAATCCCAACAAGACCCACTTCACAGAACTCAGTGGGGTCACCATTCTTGTGGACGGAATTTGAAACAACCTTCTCCGTCGCAACAAATTGGGCCTTGGAAGTCGCAGTGTGCACTAAATCATCTTCGGAAACATGAGACGCAGAAACCAAATCGCAAGCTTGGAACATGGGACCGTCAGAAATTTTGGCGGCGTCCATGCTCGGCAACATCGCATCACATGGAGCAAGAACTGCTGGTAACGTCGAATGTTGCGTGAGATCCAAAGAAATCTTAAAATCCAAGGCCTTGACAAGCTAATGCAAAGGACCAAAACACCCTTAGCATCCTATCAATTGGTCGCTTGTTCCCCCAAACCCATGCTCTACAGATCTCCTTTCTTGATTCCTCTGGACCTTGGTCTTCTTGTGGGCGCAGCGACATATCTAGCGGAGGCGGAGGCGGCAGCGGCTGCTTCGTTTGTGTAGGGTTTTTGTAATTTGTGCGCTTTTTGTTGTTTTGGGCCTGAGCTGTTGGGCTTTTCTTTTGTTATGACTCATGCCTTGGTTTTCTATTTTTGACTTATGTATTTGGGCTCTTTTGTAACTTTATTTGGTAATGAATTATTCATTTCTTTCAACCCAAAAAAAACAAAAAAAACTACACCTTATCAAATAGGGTAAAAAACAATTTTGATCACTAGGTTAGGGTTTAGGGACGATTTTGGTCATTGTGATTCTAATTATCTTAATTTCGTCACCACAATAAAGTCCAATTCCTCAATCCCGTCAGTTTCACTAATTAAAAAAGATTAAAGATTAAAGATTAAATTAAAAATAATTAATTTAAATGCAAAATTTAATATTTAAAATAAACTTTTAAATAGGACTTCACAAGAATAAAAGAGGACCCATGAATCATGAACAGCCACAATCAAGAAAAAAAAATTTACTTTCAAGTTTCAACCAAACAAAAAAATAATAATAACAACGCCAGTAGAAGCTATCAAGTAATAAAAATGGTTCATATATTTCGATAATTGTTTCACTGAATTGCCGCATCAAGAAATTAAAGACCAACAAAAATGACATGCTTCTTCTACATCACAGGTAAATTGGCAATGGCTACAACTTTCCAACATACAGCTGAAAGACCTTGCCTCCTGCTACTGCTGCTGCTGCTGCACACACTGTCTTTTAAAGTTCAAAATTGTTAGCATTTACCGAAGTCTGTTTTATGAAAAGATTGCTCAAATGTAATGTTGTAAGTAACAAGAACATATAGGAAATTGTACCATTAAATAAGCAACATTAACTACCATCTTGGCCTCGATCCGGTGCCCTTGGTTCCACTCATTCTGGACATAAAATTATTTCTGATAATAATAATTAATACGAAATAATTAGTACTTAAATTAAAGCAATCCATGAACACAAATTAGAGAAATGGTGATCATCAATACATATTTTGTGTTGTAGAAGAGAGGAAGTGAAAGCTGGATATCCCAACAGACTTAAATATTTTCGACCACATGCATGCAACATACCTAAAAGATGAACTTGATGATGGCCTATCTCTCAGACTGAGTGAAGAAAATGGTTTTGAAAGGAACTCCGTTGGATCAGCTTCGTCGCAGCTGCTAGAATCTGCTGGCCATCTATTTGGAACAACATTGACCCTGATCACCAATGAAGCAATAATGAGTTATTTAAGGTAAATCCACTGAAGTTAGAGGTATTATGAAACTGAGTTTTTTGCCAACCTGTGAGGAATAAAAGTTGAAAAAAAGAAGTTCCAAGGACAATTTACATACCCATCAAAGCTTCTGTGTTTGCAACGGTTCATCTTATCGACAGTATAATTCCCAAAGATGATGTCAAGGCGCTCTGTAAGTTTAGGAATATCAGAGAATGGGACAATGTCCCAAATCTTCATAACCTGGACAAAATCTGAGTCCTGCTTGTGAATTTCTACGCTCCAAATGAGATAAAGCAGCTCATTGACTTCATACGTCTCTAGCAATTCAGCAGAAGTCCCACCACGGCCTATAATCACTTTATCATTCTGAGATTGGCGCCAACCATTAGAAAGCTTTTTTATTAAAGAAATTACGCCCTGTCGAATCTCGGTGTCTTTAATTTCTGCTATTGAATTCCTAAATTCCTTGGCGAACCAAACCTATATCGGAAAAAGACTGATTATTGCTAATGAACAAATAAGCAAATACTTTGATGATTACAAAAAAGCAAAACCAGAAGTAGCAGCATACCTTCCATTTTGCATTTTTGAACAGCAGAGAATCAGCATCAAGCAGAGTATGTAGTTGGTTATGCTCTAGAAGGGCTGCTGCAATAGCCTGAGCTAAGTTATTGTCCTCATCAGCATTATAGAAACAATCACGTTTCTTCCCATCAAGAATTAGATTCTTCCAAATAGAGTTACTGTTAGTCAATGTCGCTTCGTTCCCCAATATCCAAAGGCAATGCCTACACCAAACAACCACAAAAAATTAACTTAATAAAAAATACCAATAATTCTGACAAAACATCTAATCTACAACATGAGCAAGCTACAATGTAACATGCAGTAATACCTGGCACGAGTTAGAACCACATTTGCTCGCTGACGATTGGAGAGGAAACCTACAGAGCCATTCCCATTACATCTGACAGTGGAGATAATTATCACATCCTCTTCACCACCTTGGAATCCATCAACAGATCGCACACTTACAGAGAAATCTGTGCCAGAAACTTCACTGTAGTTTCTGACTCTCAATTGAATTGCATTAACTTGAGCTTTGTAAGGTGATATTACCCCCACACTAACCTTCTTTTTTGTTCGAGTAAATTCTGTGGCGAAGAAGGAAAAGTTAAGAAAACTAAAGAGTAGTAGGTATCATGTACCTAGCTAAAACCTTCTCAAGCAGCATATTCTTACAACAACTAAGAACATCGACTAGCTTAGGACAGTAATTACCTTTGTAAAGGCTTGAAACTATCTCATATACAACAGCAACCTCAGCCATGTTTTTCAGACTATGCCCTCGATCAAATTCTTCTTTTCCATTGGCTACATTTATAAAGGAGTACGGCCCGTACATTCTGCCCTCAATGAAGGACTTCTCATAGCTTACTTCACTGACATTTGGACCATCTAATATCTGATTGTTGTAGAACTCCAGTTTCGGAAACCTGCTGATCGATGGATGCATCCTATACTGGACATTAAGAAGGAGCTTCTCGTGGCCTAAAAGTACAAGTCTTTCGAACAAACTTCTTCCAAATTCAGCATTCTCGGAGAGCTAACAAGTTCATTTGCTAAGATGTTAATATATTTATGTGTGCGTGTGTGTATAAGCTTCTCATTATTTAAAAAACTAAAGAAAACAAAAGGTAAAAAAAAAACCTTGCTTTTAACCATAGCAGGGAGTTGCCTCTCATCTCCTATGAGAATAGCATGGCGAAGCCCAGGTAGTTGTAAAGGAATTGCTGATTCACATTCTTTCAGCTGAGCTGCTTCATCAATCACTAACATTTCCAGAGGTGCCATTCCTTCAGTGTGCAATTTTGCAGAGCTTGACGCAGTACAAAATATTAAACAAGCATTTGCCAAGCACAAATTTCTCATTGTTTGTCCGTCATTTGAATTTGGAACAGAAAATTCACGAAGCGACTTAAGAATTTCTGTGCAATCTTTTTGAAGTGATTGTAACCTTTCATTAGCAACACTAGCCCGATGCAATATAGATTTAATCAACTTAAGCAAATCCGAAACTCTAATCATATTCTTCACCACCTCAAGTGAAATGCAAGATGTTGGCAAGTGGGTGTACAAGTTTACCATACAAGTTTTCAGATTCTCACTAAAGTAATCAAATTTTTTCTTCACAAACTCTTCAAACGTCAAAAGATCACTCTCATGATCACTTGTTGAGCTGCTATTATCAGTTTCTTCATCGTGCTCATCATTCTTTTTGTGCTGTTCCCTCTTTTCCTTTAAATACAAGGAATAGAGTTGCTCTGGATCCTCAAGTAAACCTATCATGGATTCTAACCAATGTTTCCAACCAGACAAAGGGGCAAGACACTTGGACAGAATACTAATACGACTATCAAGAAATACCTCAAAAAGGTCATTATAATTATCGATGTTCATCCGCTCCAGATTCCCAAATAGAATTACATCTCCTAGTCCATACTTTCCATATTCAAGAGTCTGATTAACCAACCTCAAGAGTCGTGCCGTAACTTCTAACACGGCAATATTGGTTGGAGCACATGTTAGTGTTCTGCACTTCAACTTAAAGAGGACAAAGAGTGTCGTACCGACTGTCTTGGTCTTTCCAGTTCCAGGAGGACCCCATATTAGTTTTACAGCATTATGGTGATGACACTTACTCAAACTGATACAGTTCAAAACTGCAGCCTTTTGGGAATCATTTAGATCAGAGCACATTGTGGGCCATTTTGTAGAAAGGTCAGGGAAGCACATGTGTTTGGAAAAACAGGTTGTGCAAGAATTCTCCCCCTGTAAGAAACAAACATGAAATGGATTAGTGAGGAATAGACCCTTTGCTTTGAGTTTAAGGATAAGAGTACAGAAAAATACATCAGATGAACTGGGTTGCACTTGCAGCACATTCTTAATGATATTGGTGTTTGTCTTTTCTGAGTTCAGCGCTTTCCATACACGAACATTTGTGGTCATGTTCATCAAATAGACAGCAAACAGTGTTTCTCTCTTGCTCTTTATTTGCTTGTATCCTTCCCCATTGATAGGCTTTGATGAGAGTATCTGGAGATTGTCTGAGCTTCCATCTTTCGATCCGAGAACATATGCAATAAGGTAGAAATTTGTAGGCCTGTTCAAATCATCAATGCATTTTGGTCTAATATTTGTCAAGGCAAAGATATCTCCAACCGCTGGCTCATATTTTCCTGCATTGCTTTCTGTCGCAATCATCTTCCTGACTGTAATTTCATAAAACAAGTCTTTGGGAGGCCTATGATGTTTAGAAGTTTCAACAGTCAGAATCTCACAAATAGGTGCCTGCGAAATTGCCGTAACGTTTGAGAGTAAATCAGCATGTGTTTCCTCAATAAGTGAAGGAATGAATGACTTCATGTAACCCGCCACGGTCGAAAATGTCTCTGGAATTTTCGTCACCTGCAAGTGAATAATGTGAAATTTATATCTCAAAACAAAAAAAAAATTAAAAAACGAGAGCTGAAAGGAAAGTTGACAACACTAGCTAGCTAGATATGCATAATGAGGAGATAAGTAACTGGAAACAAAACCTGGTGTTTGTAAAGATCTCTGAAGAGAACATTCCTAAGAGACCAAGAGAAGACCAAGTCGATTAAGCTTCTACCTGCAATTTCAAAAGGCTTCTTCACCTCATTGTCCTCATGATCCATAATTATTACTACTTACTCAACTGAAAATTCCCCAACTTCTGATGTATAAAATGCAGTGGCTTCTGTGGATATATATCACTCTCTCTTTTATATTCAACTCCACTTGCTTAGCAATGAAGCAAGAGGAGGATTCAAAACAAGTTTACAATCAACAGTAAAAGATGGTGGCCAGCAGTATGTACATAAAGTGAGTTTATCAGCAGTAAAAGGACTTGGAAAGAGAGAAAATAAAGGCAGCTACCTCTAGGCGAAGTTAATAATTACTTGGCACTGAAACAACTTATTTTTTTGTTGCTAAACACGCAATAGGATTGAATGGCATGGCACCTTATAATAATTACTTAGCTCTTCGATTTCCTGTCCAAGTTGTAGAAATGAAAAATTAATGCATGTAAAGACATCCAAAGGGACGTTTTCTATTTTCGAAAATAAGTAATCGTATATTATTGATAAACAAACAAAAGTACAAAGTAACTATATGTGCCAAATATGGGTAAATCTTCCCAAGTGATCAAATACAACCACATGTTTAATTGATCTTGAGAGAATCACGCACAACTCAAATAATGACTAAATCCCCAATCTAATAACCAGAAACACAACCCAAAATGGGAACTTTTTTTTAAATAGGAAGATTATACGTCTTTTTCTTTGAAAATCAAACATACCTCAGGAAAAGTAGTAGGAAGAAAATGAATGTGAAAGATTATAATAAAGACGTGTTGAGTTAATAATTATTACAAGACTTGAAAGACCAAAAGACACGCACAAGATATAAAACGAGACAGACAGCTTCATATTCATGTCGCTGCCTGCATTGGTAAGACCAACAGACGTCTTTGACCTTAATTTCACTAAAATAATAAGTAAATAAATAAGAAGGTAGTTAAATTGGAAAATGATCTGCTGCGACGGGCCATTTTAGGTTTTGTTCATGTCAAATTTTCCTAGCTGGTGCGTATCAAAAGATGATTTTCGAATATCTGTACGAGTTATATCACATGGCCATATTATTGTACCTACAATAATTTTTCGATCCATTGAGTTGAGGATTGAGCTATATATTTGTTTAAAGTAAAAATATTGAAGAAAAAAAATTAAATCCTTGTGATATGTACATACAGTATTAAGTTTCTTTTTTGGTAATTAATAGTACAGAGTTAAGTTAACTTTCAATTATTCAGTTGCATTAATTAAAGAGTGATGCTATTTACCCACTTACATTTGATTGGTAATTGGAATTGACGACGACATTTGAATCCTTTTACGAAAAGAGTGCTGCTATTTCCACCCTTTTATCCTATTTTGCCACTCACCTTATTTTCAAAATTTTAAAAACAAATTTATCCCTTTATAAAATGACTTCTAAGGACTTAGGAAAAAAATATTTAATATTTAATATGAAGTTAAAAATAATGAACTTAAATGTAATATTTAAATATTTAAATATTTTAAAAAAAAACTTTAACAAAGGGAAAAGCTTTAAAATTAAAAATTCATCTCCAGCTTTTCATAAAAATAAAAAATCATCCCCAAACCTCACCTTCTTCCCTAATCTGTCTCCTTCTTTCTCTCTCTTCGAATGAATCCACTCATCCCTAACAACCCTCTCCAAACCCTAGCACCCCACCATCTCCTCACAGCCACCCGCCCCCACCCTACCCCCTAGTGTCACCGCTGCCCACCCTCCCACCCCAATCCTCTTCTTACTGACCCGACCTCAGCCTCTCTCTCTCTCTCTCTCTCTCTCTCTCTGCGCAAGTTCTTGTTACCCGCTATTGGATTTTTTGTTTTGATCAAAGTGGTCTTTCATTAATGAAGAGGACAAACAAATCGTACAATGCTAAACTTCTAGAAAGGAAAACCACGCGAGCACTAACACCCACAAAAAAAAAAGTAAAACTAAAGTACAAAGAAACTGAAATACAAGGAAACAAATTTGTTACCCGCCATTGGATTTGTGATGCAATGTTTATGGTTTTCAACTCTTCCCAAATTTGAAGTTAGTTTCAATTCCTCAGTTTCTATCTACATAGACATAATTAGTAAGGTTTACATCATTAGCAAGAATATCAAATATCCACTCAGGCCATAATTCATCCCAAATATGGATACTACCAACTTTTGACACAAAAGCCGCAATTTTATGCGCTGTTGATAAGACCCGCCCCGAATTCCTCGAAATCCGAGACGAATCCTGTAATTGCTCCGACATCAAACCGATGTCGGGCCCACTTACTAAAGACACGAGACTTTCTGTCGAAATTTCAGTAGTCTCCCCTGAAAATTGGACATTCCCAAAAATTCTCAACCTGTTAAAATCACATTTAATAACTCCAACTGGCAGCATGCATAAGATAACTTATACAGTTTACATAGATGGCCTCCGGCCTCATCATCAAACCTTAGTATGGGCGATAACAGATCAATCTAAGAGTTTCGGTTTACAAACGATAATAAAGTTTAACAGGACAGAAATGAAACAAAGCTTATCCTACTGAAGCTCGAGATTCGGAAGCTCAGGGCTCAGCTCTGCTGCTCAGCTCAATCAACTACTGTCTGGGGGGTGCAAAACAGAAAATATGTGAGTGGACAAAAACAAAGTTTGATTTAGTTTACAAAACAACATACTAACCCCACCGTTTGAAAAATAATGCCAAAAACATGCAATTAATACCATATGTACGAAATCATAGTGAAATCCAAATGTTCTCACTTTCCCGAGAACATATGATTATATCCAAACAAAACCTTTGACTCCAATCCAACCTATCCAAAAGGTAGACTTATAAACAACATATGTGAGAATGACTTTAAAATATTCCATTTATAATAGCATATATATATATATGCTATTATAAACAGTTATGTATTCCATATACTACGATACCACATACTATATAGGTATATACCTCAAATACCTTCAGTATATGAGGTATACGATATACATATTATATATACATATATACATATATAAAAGAGTATCACACCAATTCGAGTACCGAGGAAAACAATCCAACATGGGGATTGTTTGACTAGTCTGCAGGGTTTCAACTTTCTACCCTGCATCTAGGGATGAGCGGTCCAACCGGGGGACGAACACTCTACATCACACATGCTAGAAATTCTAACACCACGTGTGGCCAAAAGCAAACTCTAAGTCCTACGCGCGTAGACAACTTTATCACACTATGGATAATCCAACACCAAGTGTGATAAGCTAATAACATAACCATACATTCCCACACGCTGGATAATCCAACGCCGCGTGTGGATACAATAACCAAGGGAGGGTACTTAGCATGGTGTAATCCCATATTCATATAACCAAACAATAAAGTACCCCAACTCATATTTATCTCTTGCCTAATCATAGAATCACAAGATGAATAATAATTTCTCAACTTATATAATCCATAATCTGGACAAATCATAACTTCAAATATCAACATAGTAGAAACATTCAAACTTTCCATATGGGGTCAACTGGGCCATCAAGGCCCACGACCTTCGATTTCTGATCTGAAAGTTCATATGGGTTCAACAAGGTTTAGAATACATGTCCTGTAAGTTGAGTCCGAATCAAACAGTCGGATCGCTCGCTATCATTAAACACAAACTTTAAGTCATTGAATCAGAACATCCGGGGCTCCGATTCACGATCCTAGGGATGCCTAGATCAACATATATGAAATTGGAGTCGATCCAACGGTCTGAACATATCGAACCTGGATAACGCCTAATATATTATATTCGATCGATAGTCAAACGATAACCAAATTCAAATCCGAGCATACCGTTGTGTTCGGGATGACATGGGGATTATTTTAGGACCTAATCACCAACCAAAAAGTGGCCCACGCGCTGCAGCGCGTGGGTGACCAAAGCGATTCCGCTGATCGAAAAATCTCCAAACCATCGATCAAGACTTATACCTACATGATCAGGACATTGATTGGAGCAATTTTTGTTCTTGGACCAACCCCAAAAAGTGAGCGGAGATGGTTGGAATCACGGGCTGAAATCGGCCAAAACTTTAATCGCTAAATTGACATCCAAAACGCAAAAATCAATCCTAAATAACCCAACCAGTAGCTAGAACACATTGAGATGATGAAAAAACATACCTAGATCGCAAAATTTGGTGGTTGGAAACGTCTGAATGAGCGATGGAAAAAGTGGGTTAAAACTGGCCTTGTTTTTTCAGTTTCGGGTAAATGCTGGCGGTTCCAGCGGCAGGGAAAGGGCGAGATGGTTTTTCAGATTTTTATTAAACCCTTTTCGAATTATTTACGGTTTTACCACTACATTTCTTTCGATCGTAACTTCTTCGTTACAACTCCGATTTGAGCCCACTACGTGTCTACAGACTCATCTCGGCATGAGTTATGTAATAGTACCAGTCACTTCCCCAAAATCTTTCCAGATTACAAAGTTATCAAAATACCCCTACCCCGAGGGCAAAATTGTAATTTCATACTTTATTAAATTAATTAAATTAACCAATAATTATATTTTGGGCCGGGACGTTATAGCTGCCTTGTTACAAATCAGTAATGGCTAGTATATATATTAACTAGATTGTTTTTTTTTATAACAGTGAAATAAATAGATAAATAGCTAGTTGCTTTGGAAAAAAAAAAAAAAAAAGTAACAGCTAATTTACACTAATTGAATGTAATATAAAAAGTAAAAAGTAATGCTATCCGTGTAAGAGAGAGGCTTTAGAGTTATTATGGTGGACCCGCTTATTGAAATGAATTTCATTTCAGAGTTCATTTTATTGACATTAGAAATGAACTATTGATCCTTGAAATCAAATATTGATCTCTAAAATGAATTGAACTTTACCACTGCAAGTCAAAAATTCAATTTATTGAAATAAAATTGAGCGCAAATGCTCTAAGGATAGAGTCTTATAGACGAGGGGCTTCTAGCTCAAGTTGTAAGATCATTTAATCTTGCACTCAAGGTTTTACATTTGATTCCTCCAACCCTAATATCACTCATATAAAATAAAATAAAAACTTGCACTCAAGGTTTTACATTTGATTCCTCCAACCCTAATATCACTCGTATAAAAAAAAAACACGGATAGAGTCTTGTAGACTTCTGAGTCAACATGTTGGTTCCTTTACTTCCTTCTTCATTATTGGCAGTCTATTTAATATTGGCGGATTGTGTTTAATGTAGACATCTTACTGCGAACTGCCCATATTATGCAGAAGTCATCGGTTTCACACGATGGTTTGACATCAGATACTCTAAGTCACTAGATGCGGTCCTATTTCATTAATTTTCGTTTCCAATTTCTAACTCTTTTCATTTTTTCTTCTTAGGTTGAATCCAATACATGTGTAACAAATGAACTGAAACTTCCACAAAGTTAATTAATTTGTTTCTGGGCAGATCCGATAATCCGAATTGAATACTTGTACAGCACAGGGACCAATCCAAGGCCAAATCTTTCATATTCTTCTATATGCGTACAATAATATATTACACACCTCATTTTGCCACACCTTTTCAACACATCAATCATTTTCAAAGAGGCCTTGTCTTGGAACCCTTTCAACCCGCTCACTGTCCTCCTGGCTTGGCTTTCATATCAAATGAGAAGCTTGTATACAAAATGGATCAGTGAGGTGTGTGAAAAATTGTCACATAATAGCTTGACAGGTAAAACAAACATAACTGGATTATTGAGGGATAGATTATTATCCAATCAAAGAATATTTTTATTAAAAATATGAGACTTTTTAGTCATCGTCGATAAATTATTCAAATATATATATTTAGTTTAGTCAGTTTCCAATTTTTATTTCGTTGTTTTCACCTTTCTTATTATTGCACTATTGAGTGCAAAAACACCTCATTGTTACCACATAACTGTTAGGGCTTGTTTAATTGGAAGGACTAGATTAGCAAATTCCTATTTTTTATGTGCATTTAAGGCATAATATGGATATGTTGCCTAAGTTGGAGGAAGAATGGAGACTATCTATAAGAGGTTTGATAACTAAAACGTATCCCCCCTAATTCCCTTGAAATGGTGAAATTATGAGGGATAAGTTTTAGTCATAACCTCTTATAAATAGTCCACCTTCATCCTCCAAGTTAGACAACAATATCCAGTGGCGGAGCCAGGATTTTATGTGCGGAGGGGCCAATATATTAGGGTTTAAAGTTGATTTCTTTCCTAGTGTTAAGCTTGTAAATAAATAAATAACCGATTATCTTTAATTTCCTATTTTCTTAAATATACTTGTGAAAGAAAGATTTGATTGGGTGTTTCTTTTAATTTTAATTAATTATGTTGGTAGGATCTAGGAGTAACTTTGCCATATTGCTAAGGAAAGAGTCTTTTAGTTGGAGGGGGAAATGTAAATCCCTCATTCTCTTTATTGTGGGGGGCCACAAGCATTAATTTAATATATATATTGTCCTAAGTTGTACAATACAAAGGCAATATATATAGTATTTCAGAATTTTGGGAGGGCCAAGGCCCTTGCAGCCCTAAGCACACCTCCGCCTCTGACAATATCCATATTATATCTTGATTGCAAATGAAATGTAGGTCTATCATTGATATGCCACGCCATGCAGGCCCACGCAAATACATGGAAAAGAACTATTTATATAGACAAGTCCATTCCTAAGTTCACCCAAAAATTATTCGTGCTTAGTTATATATTCGCAGTCCCCTTTATTTGCTTCAACAACCATCACCTTTTGGTCCTCATACATCTCTCTATAGCCATAAACAAGCCCTAACCTCAGTGTGCATCCACCCATCTGTGAAAAACACAAGCCAAATGACCATAATCTCCCATAAGATCCAACACTAACGCGTAACCAAGGAGCGCAACAATTCACCCATAATAAATAGAGAGGGAGAGAGAGTGTTTAATGAGATCAAAAAAATTGAGAGAAAGGAGGGGGTGTTGGGGGGTGGTATTGGATACTACCGTGTAACTTGAAATGTTGTCAAGCACCTATTAGTTATTGCCTTTGTAACTTAAAATGCTGTCAAGATACAATAGTACATAGGAAGAGAGGATTATTATTGTTTTGAATTGAAATTTGGCGGGTGGAAAAATAGTGGAAGTAGCAACGCTATAATTAAAAAGAACATTATTTGCCATCAGAATTCAGAACACACGCAAAGAGACAGATAAAACATTCTATGGCAAATCCAAAACCACAACCGTAACATTCGCAGAATAACAACGTTATGAGAAACGGTGCTTAAATCCGTCTCTCGGTACTCAAACATCAAAGAGTCACCATCACTTCATACAATAAGAGTTGGCTGCCAGCCATAGGCATTAATATAAGGAACAAATCGTGTTGCAAAGGATACTTGGATTCACTCAAATATCAACAAGTTTCACTCCTTCAGTGCTCAACCAGTTCTCATGATGATATGAACTCCACTATCTGTATCCACAATGTCGCTTATCTCCCCAACCTTGAGAGCAAATGTTGCTTCTTCAAACGGCTTCTGCATCTGGCCCTTGCCAAAAGGACCTGCAGCAATAGTTTGACATGAATCTCAGCAATAATTTAAATCTTATTTGAGGAATAAGATCATGGTAATATAGGCCTTATGTAGGGCCTATTCTCTTTCCAGCAAGATAATTTACATGACTAGCAATGATAGATGAGAAGGAAAATATCACAAGTAAAACTCATTAACATGTTACTTAACAGTAGTTAGACAATACGTACGTAATATACAAAGAAATTTTCACTTTTAATCCATAACTAATCAAATGGAAGTCATTCTTTTGCAAAGTTGGGTAATTCCAACGACTTGCACAGATTTTTTGTGTGAAAGTCACAAGGCTTTTGGCGGAGGGAAAAAGGCAGGGGTGTTGCGGAACTGGGAGGTGATGGCCGCTTTTGGGGTGTTGTACTTGGAAGAATTAAAAGAAATTTGAAGACCGTAAAGGAGAGAGAATTTTTTTACGGGATAAACTGGTAAACTTTGGGCATTGGCCTATTTGGAGCTTTGGTTGATCTTTGGCTATCTTGGGGTTTGGAAAGCTGTTCTTACCAACATTTTTCACTGTTGATAGCTAAAGGTTTATTGCATTAGCTGTTTGGTTTGTAGTGGACACCTTGTCCTCAAGAATTGTAATTATTTTGGTCCCCCAAACTATGTTTCCTCTCAAATAATAAAATCAAAAGCTCATATTTCAGATACCATACTGCAGTCTGTAACAGCTTTGTGCACGTTTTCTGTTTGGATTTCCCACATTTTAATGCCTTTATTGGGATAATTTATAATGACAAAACACAACTGTAAACCTAAACCATAATTTTGAACTTTGTGAAAGTTAGGTGCTAACCAAGATCACCGCCGCGTTTGGCAGAGCTACAATCAGAGTAGCGAGAGGCGAGGTCATCAAACTTGGCCTTGCCAGAAATGATGTCATCATGGAGGGCCTTCAGTTGAGAGACTGCAGAGTCTCGGGTGGTGTTCTTGATGATGGCACCTTCTGGATCCTTCCATGAGGCCTTTCTTCTGGAGCCTTGGTGCTTGATCAGTATGTGGGATGCCCTCACCTGATTCCCCACCGACGAGGACATTTTCGTCTTTTTGCTCTTGTTGGTGGCTTGACTTTTCTCTTTGTCCTTGTTCGTGCGATCTGCCGCCCAGATAGAAGAAGCTGCTTTCTTACGTTTACGATCGGATGAATCTATCTTTGCAGCTCAGACACAGGGCTTCGATAATGCTTGCTTGTCTGTATTCTGCAGAATGACATTTTAGCAGGAAGTATTAGTTTCTTATAATATTTCAAATAAACTTTCATTTTCTCATGGATATTAAACTATATTGAAAGCATACATTATACATAGAAGGGTTTAATATAGCCATTTCCCCACAAAAATTCAAATTGGTAGCTATCAGAGCTCAGATACTAGTGCTAAAATTATGTTTAATTCTCTGTAGTGTACAAAAACATTTCACCTGTAATGATTTTCACTTGGCCCCCATAAAAACTGAAAGTGATAGATAT